GTGTGTGTGTGTGTGTGTGTGTGTGTGTGTGTGTGTGTGTGTGTGTGTGTGTGTGTGTGTGAGAGAGAATGTTTCAAGAGATTTCTTCTTGTCTAGCCTCTCCACAGGGAACCTTGAACATTTCAATAGTTACATAACTTATTTTTCTACATTTGTTGTGAGTAGGTTGTATAACCTCTCAGGTCATAATAAGGTGGTGTATCCTGACAAGACTGTGTCAAAAATCTGTACATGTTCATATATATCAGGTTCTATCTTCAAATCGCTGGTTTGTCCTCATCTTGCCACCTTTTCTTTCTTTTTTTTATGAAGCACAGCCTGTAAGCACCTGGAAACACAATGCATTATTGTGATAGTACAATGAAAGGGTGACAGAAAAGGTAGATACAGACTATAGTTATGTGTCATGGAAGTTATGTAATTTGTTGTTGTTTTTTTGGGTATATTCGTGCTTTTTGTGCACTTAGAACAGGCTTGTTCTTTTTTCTTAGTTTTAAATGTCTCCATAGCTGCTCCCACCCTCAGGAACTCTCCAAATCCCATCTCAAACCCCACCTTTTCAGAACTGTTTTTAATGTGTGATTAATGTCCTTTTTTTCTGCTTATCCTGTGTTTTTTAAATGTCCTGTGCTATGCACTTAAAAGATTTTGCTTTTATGATTTGTTTGATGTACTTAAGTGTTGCTTTTCATTTGTTTGAGTTACGTAAAGTGTCTTTGAGGTTTTTAGAAAAGCATTGATCAAATAAAATGTATTAATATTATTATCAAATTTCAGCAGTATCTATTTAAACTGTCGTGATTGCATGATTTTTAAAGAAAGTAATGCCTCATATTTTTCTTAATTCTTAAAGAAAAAAAGTGCAACCATGACTTCACTTAAATTTAAAAATAACAACACTAATATATAGTAGATAAAGACATCATGTTGTCTTTTGTTTTGTTGCTTAGAAGACAAACATTTTTAACATAATTTCAGATTATGTCAATACCAGGTGATGCAGGTGGGAAAGGGTTTGAGTGTGTTCTTTAATAATAAAACATTTTTTGTAATAGAGTTCATAAAGTGCTTTCTTTTTTTGACAAATCTATCCAGAACTTATCCTTATGAGTGACATACAGGAAATGGTCCAGCTTCCCAGAATCTGTGTGTAGCTGAGTGCATCTTGTTGTGTGCAGGCACTATATTTTTAGTGTGTGTGTGGGGTGGGGGTGGGGGTTCGTGTGTGTGTGTGTGTGTGTGTGTGTGTGTGTGTGTGTGTGTGTGTGTGTGTGTGTGTGTGTGNGTTCCTCAGGTCTCAGGTCCAGTGGTGTGTTGGAAGAAGAGGAGCAGTTGTAGAAACATGTCATCAGGTGTGTGTGTGTGTGTGTGTGTGTGTGTGTTGTCCTCCGCTCTCACACTGAAGTGCATCTCTTTGAATGATGACTTTGCTTTCATCTCTCTCCCCTTTTCCTCTTTCCGATGCATTTCCTGCCTCTTCAGTGTCTCTTGTTGAGTGTGTGTTCTTTCGGTGATATGGAAGCTCTGTGCATTTCAGGAACTGTTTATATAACTGTTGTGTAAGGCAAGGTCGTTTAAAAAAAAGAAAAAGAAAATTGGGGTACCCTGAGTAATCCAAGTAAATGGGTGAAATACATGACTCAAACCAAAAATTGTTCTTTTGCCTCTGTATTTCATATCATATATTATTATTGTTAAACTTGTGTTCTATTTTACTTCAGACATTGTGTTATTTCATCAAAAAAAAGTTGTATTTCCCCAGACCTAAAGAGAAGGTTTCTTAGTGTCATTCTGTGTCTAAAGTTTTGGTCATCTGTCATTTTGTCAAAATAATTTGAAATCAAAATATCAATATTTCAGAAAAAATATAGTGAAATACTTGCATATTTTCTGCTCATATACCTAAATGAAAGGTTTATTCTTTTGAGTTGTTGTATGTATATATAAATAACTAGTATCTTACCTGCTGTAGACGGCAAGCTCATAAAAAGCAAGAAAGAAAAATCTTAAAGAGGATTAAAAAGCTTGTCTGGTCCTTTTCTTCCTACACAGCTCCGGTCAATTCTAGTTTCCCTTCACTGCTCCGTCTGGGACTTCTCCAATTGACAAGGATTTCACTGGCAGATTTTTAGCCGAACCAATCAGAGAACAGAACGTCAATTTTCTGCGCAGTGTCTGCTAGTAGTTTATTTCACCTGGGCCAATCAGCAAACAGAAGGCGGAGTTTTGAATGACGTCAATTTTCTGCGCAGTGTCTGCTAGTTAGTTTAGCAAATGGCAGTGGAGGAAGTGAATAAAGCCAGTCTGTGTTGATAAGGCTTCAAAATTAAATTTAATTTGTCTGACAAAGCAGCAGCTCTCATTTACAGTCGTCTCGTTCGGCTCGGTACTTTTCTCCTCTCAGTAGGGTTGCTTACAGCGCACGCGATTTCCGGTTAGCTTCTTAGCTTAGCCTCCTTCACAGCGACACACACTTGAACAGAGGCCACGCCTCCAGCAACATTTGCTTTCTATAGCCGCGAGTATAGACCCTCGTACGAAGCAAAGTGAAGGACAACAAGGGTCTGGTTTTTACCAGGCTTTTAAAAAGCTACTCAAAAAGGTCATTCAACAGCTTATTTAAACCACGTAAAACAGGTCAAACTCACTTCTGCTATATTAGGTACTTGTTACCTTTTGCATGAAAAGGCCATTGTTTTCTCAAACATTACGTGTACCTGTGCTCACTGAGGCTGCTTATAGTCCTAATCTAGTTCCAAAACCACTACAAAACAGAATAAATACAAAACTAATACAAACTGCTTTTTTTCCCTAGAAAGATAGAAGATGTCTGCTTAAGTATCCAAAGGAAGTAGTGTTGATTGTAGTGATGGAACAACTTTGCTAATTAGCATTAGGCTATGTTTAGCAGTTGCAGTTCACACAATTAGAACAGCAACACCGATTTGAGAAAATAATGACAATGTGATTAACACTCATTAAAACGGACAGTGTGTAAAAATATGTTTGTTCTATGACCTCAAACTGCTGAAAAAGTTTCATTTGCTTTATTATGATAAGCTGTTAGCTGCTATAGATAAAATACTGACTATTGTAGCTGCTTAAAAAAACTAGACCTTCACTTTAAGAAAAATACGATTGAATATCTCTTAGTGTTACTACTTGTACCCCGGACTGAAAACACGTCTCAGCCAATAACTAACACATTCCAAGCGCTGACAGATAACTCACTAGAAAACACCAGTCTGAAACACACACCGTCACCATGCCTCACAGACACACACGATAATGAAGAGGAGCTGGTGTCATTTGCAGCCCGATTAAGAAGTTTGTCACACAGAAGGACTGTAGGGGTGTTTTACGTAAGTTGTTTTTCAGTTCACGCTGAGCTCATCACCGGCCTCCGTTCCTCATCGTGTCATGGATGTTTGTGTGCGTTTATGCCAACGTATGCGCGTTCACGTGCCGGGTGGTACACAATGAGAATGTCTTGAACTCATTTTTGTGTGTGTGTGTTGGAAGTGATAATGTTGGCAGAGTGTTCCTGTTTGTCCCATCTTACAAACATACAAACACACCGTGAGCTCTGAGGGTTTAGGTTGACGGTGTAGAGATGTTTAGCTGTGGATGTTTTTAACAACGATGTACTGATTAGTTTTTCATTTAGAGCTCGTTCTCAGGAATATGTGTGTGTGTGTTTGTGTCTGTGTTAGTGTCCCATCTTGTGTTTCATAAGCCGTCCATATTTATGATGCAGCTCTTACATAATCTCCAGATCAGGTTCAGTCGGTTTTCTGATGGAACAACTCAGAGGTGGAACAAGGACAGGAGCAAGGTTTAAAAAAAATTCATGTTCAATTTTAGTTTATTTTATTTTTTGACAAAATAATGCATTAAAACTAATACTTGTGGTTCATTTAAGCATCCTACAAGTTTAACGGACCAAACTTTTTAACTTCTTTTGTTGGAGACACAAATCTGACAGAGATCTGCCTTTTCAGTTATTTTTTCTATAAAGATTCAAGCTTTTAAAAAAGGGGACACTATTCATTTTTGGTACAGAAAGGCAAAAAACAACTTTAGGAGTCCTGTTAATTTTATTTTAAGATGCATTGATTCCTGGCCTGAGGGTGGCAGTTATTGATACATTTTGGATGGCAGTATTTGTGGTTGTTAATCTTGAAAAGTGAAACATTTTCATCCCATTTTCCTCTGAGTCATCAAGGGTTATAAAAACACTTTTATTAAAACCTTTCTACTTTGTGACTTTGCAGATTTTACTTTTGACTATTGCCGTTTGATTTGTCGGAATGACACAAGAAAACACTACATGTTATATGGATAAAATAGTGAACATATTTTTTGGCAAACAACTAATCACGGGGAACATAAGTATCAAATCTTGATGAGCTGTGATATTTAAAATGTTTGTTCAAGTTTACTGGGTAAATCCAATATGCCACTCTATTTTCTTTTCTTTAGACAGATTAGTTTCCTTTAATTGCTGGGTTCATATTGCACCATGTCTGACCGTTATTAACTTGCACTGTAGTAAGTTGTAGTTTAACCAAAATGGAAAATACGACAAACGTTTTCATTATGTTCAGTTGTTCCTGCATAACTTTTTGGAGTTTTTTTTTTTATTATTAGAAATTGTATAATAAAATAAATATATCATCATCTATTTTATCATGTGAATATTTGTGACCTTAAATTATTATTATCCTCCAATCACAGATCAGTCCCACAGCGCCCCCTTCAGCTCAGAGAATGAGACTCAGGGCGGCAACCCGGCTGCGTGGCAGTGCACCCCGCCCCAATCTACCTCGCCTTCGGCAGAGACGCCGGCACACCCGCCCTCCTCGCAGCCCATGTCCAGGCCCCACTCCAGGCCGGCGAGCCGAAGCCCCACCCCTCCCTTGGCCTTGACGGGAAGCAAGAAGCAGAGCTCCAAGCCCACGCACATGAGGCGAAACATCAGGTACTGAACTTTACGCAACGTCAGTCAGGGAGCTTCAAACGACGCCCACTCCTGTTACAAAAAGAGAAACAATAAGATTTAACCAACTTATTATTATTAATATTAAAGTCAAATGTCATGAGGGGTCTGACTGAATGAACACAGCAGCTAAACATGGACATTATAAACCAGATTCAGGACTAATTCTGTGTTTTAAGATCATTTTGTCTGCTCTGCATTAAAACAACACGACTGTGTTTGAACCAAAAGGAGTTTGGACTCACTGCTTGACAAACTGTAACCAGCCAACCTTGAGATGAAAAGAGATGAGTACACAATCCTCTGAGGAAGCCCGAGCTGCGGGGCAGAGCAGGCTAACCTCTCTGCTTTTTCCAGCACTTATTGTATTTCCAATAACATTCATTGTTCGCCGAGTTTAAAAGACTTATCGTGTCAGGACTGTGAGTTATTTTTTAATCCTTTGTGCTTTTACGTTGTTCTATTTTTGAGCAACTACAATGCAGGGCAGCTGGCCATAAAATCTGTCAGTGATTATATATCTGCTGAGTCTACAGCTTCATTCCTCCTGCCTGCCAGAGAAACATAAAGCTCAACTTCAAGAATATGCTTCCATTCGTGTTATGGATGCCAAATCTGGCTTTAATTCCCTGTTGGAGCTCCGTTATTGATAGCCTGGCCCTTGCCTTCCTACACAGCTCCGCTCAATTCAAGTTTCCCTTCACTGCTCCGTCTAGGATTTCTCCCATAGACAAGGATTTCGCTGGCAGATTTGTAGCCGGGCCAATCAGAGAACAGAACGTCAATTTTCTGCGCAGTGTCTGCTTGTAGTTTATTTCACCTGGGCCAATCAGCAAACAGAAGGCGGAGTTTTGAATGACGTCGATTTTCTGCGCAGCGTCTGCTTGTTAGTTGAGCAATGACAGTGGAGGAAGTGAATGAAGCCAGTCTGTGTTGATAAGGCTTCCAAATTTAATTAAATTTGTCTGACAAAGCAGCAGCTCTCATTTACGGCCATCTTGTTCGGCTCGGTACTTTTCTGCTCTCAGTAGGGTTGTTTACAGCACATGCGATTTCCGGTTAGCTTCTTAGCTTAGCCTCCTTCACAGCGACACTTCAACAGAGGCCACGCCTCCAGCAAGAATCTCTTCTCTACGGCCGCGAGTATAGACCCTCGTACGAAGCAAAGTGAAGGACAAGGGTCTGGTTTTTACCAGGCTACCTTATTGATACAATATTTACCTATGTTTAGAAAGAAGGGCTGTAATTGTTTCGAGTTGATTTCTGCAAATGCTGAGCTGTGACATTTTCCTAAAACTTGAAAATTTTATTAACTGAATTTTAGATACAGCCTTATATTTTTTATGTTTTGGGATCAATTGTAGTCATTTACTTAAACGGAGAATTGACAAATCTCTCTCTAGTTTTAGTGTTCATTTCAATAACTTCCTCCCTTGTTTTCTATGACGTCATATCCAGGGTGGGATTTGACTCTGGATTAAGGCTCGCTCATTACGTGTGGCTCCCCCCATTCTCCTGTAGCTCTGGAAAGGAGCTGATCTGAGTTATTTGTTGTGTGTGAAATTAAATATTTAAGCCTAAATCTGAGCATGTATCCTGTGTGTACTTTAGCTACAATTAATATGTTTTCTTACAAAAGCAATAAAATAAAGTGGGTGTTTTTTTTCTACAAATGCTTCCAACTTTTAAAACCTCATATTTAAATAAAAAATAATGAGTTCTGTAAACGCCTGAGTGGTAGCTAGTTCTCAGTGGGATTATATGTTTTTTTCTATTATTATCGCACAGCTCACTTTTCATTTTAATGTTTAAATACCAACTCTCGCTGATTAAAAGAGAGCAAAGCTTGGCCTGTTGTTATGAAGGTCCCAAGTGTGGTTTTATTTCCAGAACGATTCATTAAAATAATAGCAGAAGAGGTTGTGTGTTCCCAGTAAAAATGGTTGCAGATGTTTATAGGGAGCTAAGCTTTAACTTATAATTATTTTCTCTGTCTGCGCAGGAAAGTACTTAGGGAGCATCAGTTAGATGCAGTGACCAAAGCTGCCCAGCAGGAGGAGGTGGAGAGACGGCGACGTCTGGGGGAGCAAAGAAAGCAGGATTTTCTCGTATCGCAGCTACCTGAATGCACAACAGGTAGGAGTACATATTTACTCACCTGTGTCATTGTTCTCCCTTTTTTATCTAATATTTATTATCCAACTGTCCTCTTCTTCAGGTGACGTTGCCCAGCATGTGTCCTCATCAACAGCGTCCGTGTCATTCCAGCAGGAAGTCAAGTCCACCAGACAGGAAGTTGTCTGTTTGGACTCCAGCAGCACAAATTTTAATGAAGATGACCGCAAGACTAACAAACCTGCTTCTGCTGCTACAGAGCAAACTCAAAAAGCAGGTACAAATTACAGCTGTTTGTCTCAGATCAGCTAAATGAATTTGAAATCAGATTTTAAAAACTAGAAAAAAAATTACAAGAAAAATAGTGGGTTAGCGGAACTGTGCCCACCGCTGCAACGTATTAAAATAAACATTTCATTGCATATTTTTCTGATATTCTTTAAATGAGGGTTTGGCTCTTACATATTCATAAATACTCACAGCACCCCCAAAACTGAAACATGTTCCAACAGCTATAATATACCAGCCCAGTTCAGTTCCAGGCCTCTTGTAAGCCTCTGAATCTTTCTCGGCGACTCTTCTGGCTGCAAATACAGAACGAGGAACCCAGTTCTAGTGGTTCGGTCTCATCCACCAAACTCAGAGCAAATCATCCTTAACAGCTGCAGATACAATTAACTCATCTTTCCTTTTTCATATGACCTTATTGGACATTTTAGCTTTTTTTGTGTCAGTAATCAGAATGTAAAGGACTGAATACTAACCTTTCACATGGAGTATCACACACCAAGGAAGCCATCAAGGACACACACAAACACACACTCAGGTATTTTTTTTTAGAAGAATTGAAGGTAAACTGCAGACACAGACATAAAGATCAACGTGAAAATGAAAGCAAAAGAGATCAAACGAGAGGGTGTCTGTGGGGCAATAAAGCCAACTGATCCTGGTTAACGAGCACACGCCCACACCACTGTGGCACGGTGACATTTCTGCTCGGGTTGCATAACCAGTCGCCCCCTCCACTCTAATCCTACTTGTATAACTAGCCATTCACTACGTTATATAAGCTGCTGTTTTTTTTTTTTTAAATTCAGACACACTAACATACTGACACACAAGCAACCTCTTCCCTGTGTACCCTAGCCAGCTGCCAGCTTGTGTAACTTTCACCACTAGAAATCTATCACCTTTTGTTTTTTTAATCACATTATGAATGTGTTTTTTATGGTCCAGACTCACACATGCATGGTGTCATTGGAATTCTGTGCAGGTTATACTCTGTTACTTCAGATCGGTTAAAATGTAGTAGTAGCTATTTATTTTAACTGCAGCTGATCAAAGGGTATTTTTTGCACATTTTAAGTCACAATCCAATTAAAACAGTAGAATCTCATTTTTTAAAATAAAAAAACGTGAACGTGAAATATAAATGTTTTATAATCTGTACATTTCTTAAAATGTTCTCATGTCCCCGTTTTGTTTTGTTCAGATGTCTTCGATCTGTGCACAAATGAAGACGATGCTTCTTCACGCGTCTGCAGCGAGTCCGCCAACGAAGAAGACGGCGAGCCGCGTGGCGCACACGCCAACGACGTCCAGAACCAAGCCGACTCGCAGGGCAGGGTGCTGGTCAACCTGAACCACCCGGCTACAGAAAAAAACATTTTCCTGTCGCCTCAGCTGGCTCGAGTGGTTAAACCTCACCAGGTATTCCAGTCCTGCATCCTAAACCAAACGAGTTCTTAACCCTTTTCTCTTATTTTCCCTTCTGTTTTCTGTCATTTCACACTCTGTTTATTCATCGTCCATCCTCCTCAGATCGGCGGAATCCGTTTCCTGTACGACAACCTGGTGGAGTCGTTGGAGCGCTTCAGCAACAGCAGCGGGTTCGGCTGCATCCTCGCCCACAGCATGGGTCTGGGCAAAACGCTGCAGGTCATCTCATTCATCGACGTCCTGTTCAGAAACACTCAAGCTCACACTGTGCTCGCCATCGTGCCAGTAAGCGTCTCGGGACTATTTTATTTTCTTATTATTTTAGATGAGTTTTTGTGAATCCCAGAGCTGCAATGTGTCTGCAGTGAGTAAAGACTTTAATTTTATTAAGTGACAAAAAATGTCTTCATGTATGAATAAAACAAGGCGTTAGGGAAACTGTGGACAGAAAGAAATGGGGAACTAAAAGACACAAACTAAAAATGCTTTACTCGTATTTTATTCAGGTCAACACATTGCAGAACTGGCTGTCAGAGTTCAACACTTGGGTCCCCCCTCCTGAGGCCTTACCCCCAGATACTGACCCTGCACTGGTGGCCCCCCGCACATTTAAGGTCCACATCCTCAATGACGAACACAAGTGAGTTATAAAATCACTTTTTATGTCAATTTCTTTAAAAACCTGCATTTTTTATTCTTATTTTTTTATTCTAAGGAATGATACACCACCATGTTTCTTAAGGGATCAAAAATAAATAAATTAAAAAAATAAAAGCCACAAGTTCTTCTTCTTCAAGTTCTTTGTTCCTCACAGACAGATATGTCCAAGAATTTTGCTTAAACCCATCTACATTAAAAAAAAGTAAAAGACCAAACAAATTGTATATTTTGGTTTCAAATGTCTTGTTTCTTCAGGCATCATCAAATCTTTTTAGGAATGTATGAATGACAGCTTCACAGTTTTTCTTTAAGTGACACACGGATCTGATTTTAGAAGAGACATTCAAATTCTAAAGATTTAGTTTCCTCTTTTACATGAGATTTTCTGCTCTTTATTGGTTTGTATTCCTAGCATTTTTAATCAATGCTCACAAACAACTCCAGCAAAAAAGACAAGTTCAATTTTTTTTACGTCCTTTTTGTTTTAGAAGTCAATTTAATATGGTCAAAGGTTTTCTCTTGCCAGTTTTTGTGGTTGCAACTCCTACACATCCAAGTACTAAACAGGCCCTGCCCTGCAGAGATCAGACGAGTTCTGACGCTTTCAGGGTGGTTTGACTGCGCTGAGTCCAACTTTCTTCTTTCTTCTGCCGTCCAGGAACACGGTGACCAGAGCCAAGGTGGTGGAGGAGTGGTCTAGGGACGGCGGGGTGCTGCTGATGGGCTACGAGATGTACCGCCTCCTGTCAATGAAGAAAAGCTTTGTTGCTGGAAGGAAGAAGAGGAGCAAGAAAGCAGCAGGACCTGATGTCATAAATCTGGATGAAGGAGACCGACAGCAGGAACTGCTTAAAGGTTGGAGAAACTGAAAAAACGAACACCGAAAAAAAAATTAGTGGAAGACATCTTATTAAAATTGTTTTTTTTGTTTTTTTGTTTTTTTTTTTGTAAAGGTGTCGAGAAAGCCCTGTCCCGACCTGGTCCGGATGTTGTAATCTGTGATGAAGGACATCGCATTAAGAACTGCCACGCCAGCACGTCTCAGGCTCTGAAGAGCATCCGAACGCGCCGCCGTGTGGTTCTGACTGGTTATCCGCTCCAGAACAATCTGATCGAGTACTGGTGCATGGTGGACTTTGTCCGTCCCAACTTTCTAGGTATTAATCGAGATCAGTTCTTTTTTTTTCTCATCGTGTTTCTGCGTGATCCCATAGTAAACACCAAACACATTTCATAACCCGTTTTCATCTAAATGTCTTGTTTTTCCTGAATGTTTCAGGTACGCGTCAAGAATTCAGTAACATGTTTGAGCGTCCCATTCTGAATGGACAGTGCGTGGACAGCACACCTCAGGACGTCCAGCTGATGAGGTACAGGAGCCACGTCCTCCACAGCCTGTTGGGGGGCTTCGTCCAGAGGTAGGAAGTTTTTCACCGTCAGAGAAAAACCGCTGGATAAACCGTTTAGAGCGCACTGTTAACTTGAGCTTGTCTTTAATCCAGGCGAGGCCACGACGTCCTGAGGGACCAGCTGCCCTCCAAGCAGGAACATGTCATCCTTGTGCGTCTGTCTCCTCTGCAGAGGGCGCTCTACACCGAGTTCATGAACCGCTTCAGGGAGGCGGGAAACACCGGCTGGCTCAGCCTCAACCCTCTGAAGGCTTTCTGTGTCTGCTGCAAGGTGAGGAGGGAGCGCGTGCATCCACACCTCTACCTGTGTCTTATAATTCATTTAAATAAAACAAATCAAATGACTGTTGTTTTTCAGATCTGGAACCATCCAGACGTGCTCTACGAGGCCTTGCAGAAGGAGAATCTGACGAGCGAGCAGGATTTGGACCTCGATGACATCACCTCCACAGGACACCCCCGATGTCCCACCGCAGCCTGTCAGAAGTCGAAGAACTTCGACAATCCAGATCCCATTGGCGGACTGAGTCTCAACCAGCTGCAGGAGAAAGCCAACCAGGTCATCACTTATGAATGGGTACGTGCTTGTCTGGGATTTTTATAAAATACCTAACTGAAAAATATTACATAACAACAGATCCACGTTCAGTTTTAACTGGATTTCTTTTGATCTTTGACCTGAACCAGGCCAACGACATCATGTGTGACTACAAGCCCGGCCTTCTGGAGAACTCTGCAAAGATGGTGCTGCTGTTCCACCTGATAGAAGAAAGTGTCAAAAAAGGAGAAAAAATTCTTGTCTTCAGGTAAAAAAAAATCAAAAACCGTTTCATTGTTGGACATTTAAAAAAGTGGAGATTTGAATCCTTTTTAGCATTGTCTTTAAGTTTTAATTATACTGACTTATTTTTTCTGTGTGGGTATTTCTGCTTTTCTGCACCTCTTGCAGTCAGAGTTTATCTACACTGACTGTGATCGAGGATTTCTTAGCCAAGAGACCAGTGCCTCCTCCACCTTACACAACCAGCAAAGACAGACTGAACCAGAATTGGGTCCGCAATCTCAACTACTACAGTAAGCCAACGCTTATGATGATGTCAAAAACTTTCAGCTTGTTCAGCGATTTAGAAAATGCTGAATATCTATCATTTTTTAAAGCATTTTTTTATAGAAACCACAGAATATAGAACATTTGTCAAAGGCACAAAGACAGACAACACCTCAGTTTAAGAGGGTGAAAACTTCTAAAAAAACAGTTAGAACTGGTCTCAGCTGGAAGCATTTTATCCAGAACATAATGAACTAAACTTTTAACCAAGCTGAACTGATAAATCTGGTGTGTTTTTAAGGGGAAAGTGATTTTTTTTTCTGACTGCACTGGTGGTGATTTTCCCTCGTTGAGATGCAATAAGTGCTGCCACCTGCTGGTGTCTTTTAGTATCACACAAACCTGGGTTTAAGTCAGGAGTCTGCAACCTCAGCAACTGAGAGACATTTCTTCCCCCTTTTTCTACATAATACAATTTATTCAGACCTGCAAAGTTTACTTGAAAATAAATATGAAAAGATGAAATATTGAAACTCATTATTAAATTATAACTACAGAGAGAATATGTAATAGAGTGATTAAGGATGAGATAGCACTATACAGGAAAAAAAAAGCTATGATGGTTTGATTCAAATAGAAAAAAATAAAAGATGGATGGGATAAATGGTGAGAAAGTCAGTAAAATAAAATATAACTGTGCATTTAGTGGTACCTAATGTTTGTATAACAGCATTTAAAACCTTTGTTGTAACTTATAGTATTTGTTTTTAATGTTATGAAGGACTGGATGGAAGCACGACGGCTTCAGAGAGAGAGAGACTGATAAACCAGTTCAACGATCCGACAAACACCTCGACGTGGGTTTTCCTGCTGTCGACAAGGTCACAAACAGAAACACACACACATACCTGATTAATAGAAAATATTAAAATGATGGGGGCCTGTGTGTAACAGATTGCTGATCTGTCTGAACTTCAGGGCTGGCTGTCTGGGAGTGAATCTGATCGGGGCAAACCGTGTGGTGGTGTTTGACGCCTCCTGGAATCCCTGCCACGACGCTCAGGCTGTTTGTCGCGTCTACCGCTACGGTCAGAGAAAACCGTGTCACATCTACAGGCTGGTGTGCGACTTTACTCTGGAGAAGAAAATCTACGACCGTCAGATCTCCAAACAGGGCATGTCTGGTGAGTTAGATGAATTTATGGAATTACTTTTTAAGTGTTATCTCGGCATGAATTCATTTTACGAACTCCTTCTGATTCCATTAGATCGTGTGGTGGACGATCTGAACCCAGTCCTGACTTTCACCAGGAGAGAGGTCGAATCTCTTCTTCATTTTGTGGAGGAGGAACCAGACCCATCCCAGGTCCAGCTGCAGCCCTATGTGATTAAAGACAGCATCCTGCAGAAGGCTCTGCACCTCTACACTCACCTGATCACTAAGGTAGATGAACAGAATGAAACTTTTATCTTCTTAAAGGTTGAACTTTTTTAGTTCGGAGATTCTTAACCTATGGTCAATTGGGCCGCGAGCGCCACCTTGAGGGCCTCAAAAGAACAACAGTTTTTAACTTTGGGCCGCAGAGGGCCGCGGGACCGCATTGATTTTGAATAAGGTGCAATACACTTTCTCATCAATAGTAGTGGTAGTGAGCCACTCAGATGTTTAACAACTTTTTTTATACGTAGAAGAAGAACCATAGATACCTGCTGAAAATGGAAACCTATTTTAAATGAAAAGTAGAAGGCAAAAATGAAGAAAACTCATCAAAAAAGGTCAAAGTTTGTCACTAATGTGAAGAGCAGCTTCTGGTTCTAACATGCAATATTTCAAAAGTTCAAAACATTATCAAATACAGTTGCAGATACTGCTATATTTTACTTTGCACTTTATCAAATACATTTTTGTAGTTTATTTTTAAACATTTTGAATGTATTTTAAATAAACTTGTTGAAAAGCTGTTACTGTTTTTTTGTCACTAATATGAAGAGCAGCTTCTGGTTCTACCATGCAAAAGTTTAAAAAGGCTATATTTTCATTTGTACTTTATCAAATTATTTTTGACAGGTTTTTTTTTTGTTATTTGAAGCATTAAACATTTTTAATTTATTTGTTTTATGCCCACACTTTTATTTATTGAACTGTCTATTTTTGTTATTGTTTATGTTAAAAAAATATGTTATTTTTTGTGCTGATAAGCCTGAGTGGTCTGTTGACTGACCATTGTATTTGTTCAAATAATTGTTGTGGGCAGGTTACACTATAACAAATAGTTTGTCATAATCATGTCTTGTGATTATTACAGGAGTTTTACTTTTAAAATGTATGTGCATTTAATTTAGTTATAATGTAAATACAATAAAAATTAAACGAAGATTTAGAATAATTATCATTTTGATCCATACATTGGTAATATCTGACTGGGCCTGTTGCCACTTTATGTTCAACAAATTGGGCCCCAAGGTCAAAAAGGTTAAGAACCCCTGGTTTAGTTGAAATCAGGTAAAACTTAACACAAAGCTTCTCCACTTCCTCCCCTCCAGCAACCCTTCCCTCACGAGTCCCTGCTGATGGACCGCAGAGAGCTGAAGCTGAGTAGTGCAGAGAAAAAGGCCGCTAAGAAGGGTTACGAGGAGGAGAAAAGGGCCTCGGTGCCGTACACCCGACCGTCCTATGCTCACTATTACCCCGCCAGTGACCAGAGCCTCACCAACATCCCCGCCTTCAGCCAGAGAAACTGGTCAGTAATTAGCTGGTCCAGTACCAGATATCTACATTCCTGCTGGGATTCATTTCTTCAGCAAAGCTTATAAAATCTGCGTCTCTGTCCAGGCGCCCTCCCACCCGCACTGAGGAGAAACCAGTGGCAAACGTCCGACCAGTCCAGTCGGCACCAGTTCCCATGATGCCTCGCCAGGTGTCCGCAGGTTCGGCCCCAGACCGAGACCCCTCAAGGTCCACCCTCGGAGGCTTCAATGTGAACTGCCTGCAAAAAGCCGGGGTGTTTGTCCAGAAAATTGTCACCACTACTGGTAGGCATTTATTTAGTTTTTTCTTACACTTCAGTTCTACATTTTGCTCTATTTTTTTATGAATGTTCTTAAACTTTAAATGTTATTTTTGGATTCTTTTAGACATCGTGATTCCAGGTACCAACAGCTCAACAGATACTCAGACCAGAATCCCTGCTGGGGAGAGTATTCATGTCATCAGGGGCACAAAAGGTACTAAAACCCAGGAAATAAAACTGTTTGGTGCAAATAGGTGTTTGTTCTAATTTTTCAAGTTGTTTTTATTTTCTTTATTTTTATACTGTTTGATATAATAGAAATCAAATAGACATCTAAGCTTTCAAGATGATCTTAAATTGATCTTTGAAACTTTGACATAACCTTAAAAAAACCTACAGTCCCATAAGTTGACAACACAGATTTACGAGTTTCTGTTCAATTTCCGCTGAATATTTATTTATTTATTTATTTATACATACTTAATGAAGTGGTGACAACATCCATCATTGTCATTTTTAGGGACATATATCAGAACAACAGATGGTCGAATCTTTGCCATCAGAGCAGCTAATAAGACCAAAACCATGGATGAGAGTGGAACAGCACCACCCAAAAGTAAGCTGTTTGTTGGTGAGGTATAAGATGTGCAATCGTCCTGAAACTAAGATTTATTCTCTCTTTTTTTTCTTCTTTTTCTTCTTCTTCTTCTTCTTCTTCTTCTAGATGCGCAAGCCCCACTTCAGGAGGTTTTAACCAATCACAGTAACGGGTGCCTGTCACCTGACAACAAACAGGTGTCACTGAAGTCTGTGCCCCGCCCCCTTTCCCCCGACAGCCCTGAGATCATCGATGAGCTGCAGCGCTACACGTGCGGCGCAGGAGCCGATACCACAGCAGAGAGCAGCGTGAGCGGCGGCGGCAGCCTGAACCACCACGACGCCTCTGCTGCTAACGTAATCCAGTCCAACACGGACGCCGCCGCCGCTCAGGACTTGAGAATCGGCACGAAGCGCAAAGCCTCCGCGCCGCCCCCGGACGAGGGCGCGAGCAAGCAGCCCTTTGTGGGCAAACTCTCCTCGGCCACTCTGCCGTCACAGGGCTTCCCTTTCACAGGGGGCTATGGCCTCCCTCCGATGGGTCTCAGCTCTGCCGTGCTGGGCGGTTCCCTGAGGCCCCCGGTCTTCATGGGTTCAGGCTCGCACTACTTCCACCCACCTACCGCTCAGCTGGGTGACCCCAGCTACGTGTACCCAGATCTGTTTGGCATGAACGGAACTAGCACTGTCTCCGCTCCCTCCTCCTCCTCCTCAGCAACACCAACCAGTTCAGCCATCTCATCCTCCTCATCTGAATTGGTCAAAGCCACCAGTTCACTTGCAGGAGCTGTTCCGCCGTTCATGCTGAACCCCGGCATGCCTGGGATGCTCCCACCGGGCTTCCCCCTCTCCTACACTCCATCTCTGGCCAGCCTTTACTCCGGCTCGATGCTACCGAGCGGCGAGCTGGGTCCAGCTGGCACGCCTGGAGCAGCTGGAGCCAGCTTCTTGTCCCAGTACCCGCCCACTGCTGCCTCTAGTTCCTCCTCCTCCTCCTCGCCTTCCTCCTTCTCCCCTTCAGCGCGACCTGAGGGTCAGCGGGCACCGGTTCTGGTGAATAGCGGGGATGTTAGCAGCAACAGCAGCTCTGATGATTATGATGATGATGATGAGGTAACTGAGGTGAAGGAACAATAAAACTCACAGCTATTTACAAACAGGATAAAGTCCTGTTTGCCAAAAGGCAGGTTTTTAAAGCACCTGTCATGGAGGGCTTGAGGGGGCGCCAAGATGTTCGTTTTGTCACCTGCATTGCCTTGAAGAAACTGTAGAAAGAGTGGCCGAACACAGGCCGGACGCAGGATATCAGAATGTGAAACCTGTGAAAAAAAGGTGTAAAAGATTCAGAGGGAAGAAGAAATAGACATTTTGTGGAGTCTGAGCTTCCAAGTTCAGTTCTGGCATTAATGTTTTCCTCACTGGACCGAGCAGCACCGGGTGTGTGGGATGCCGTTAGTTGCGTATGTCCAGTAGTTGTGTAGTTGACTATAGAGATTCAGTTTCTGCAGCTTTGCTCAACGTGAGGACGCTTGCTTACGGCTAACTTAAAAAAATAAAAATTAAAAAAAACCCAGCAACCATAAGGTGGTGTTGCTTATTTAAAAAGCAGTTCAGGTAGATGATAGTAAATTCTGTTAAATAACTGAAACAGTGTTGCTGAATATTGCTACTGAATATTTCTTTGAAATAGTTAAGAGATCAAACCAAACTTTTCAAAAAATGTTTTCTTTTTTTTTTTTTTTTTTTTTTTTTTTGGAGAGCATAAGAGTTCACTGCCAGGACAGACGTATTGTACAATTTAGACTTTTTTTAAAAACAGAAAAGATATGGAATCTTAAATTGTAAGAGAAACGGTTGATATCGGTGATGACAGCTTAATGAAACTTTAAAACTCTAATGAAAGAATGTACACTTAATTAAATGCTTCTTTTTTTTTCCAGGCCTTTTTTGGAAATGCTCCTGTTTAGGCATGGGATGTAGGGAAATGTTTATTTATTTTTTATAATTTTTTTTGCTTGTGTGTTGTATTTTTAAACTAAGCTTTTTTATTTACATGTAGAAAATGATTGCCTAAAATCAGCCAGGTGAAAACGAGAAAAAAAAACTAGTGAGGTGTCCTCCTCGTAGCGGAGAAACAACCAACAGAAATGCCTTTCTTTGCCTCCATCTTTCTGAATGTTAGCTGTGAGAGAGGAGAGGTAAGACGGTCGCCTCAGCTCTCTGAATCTCACCCACAGTCTTACTGTAGCCTATAGTGACAAAAACGATGCAAAACACTCACTCAAGCCTATATAAAGTTTTGTAAAAGCCCAGGGGAGCTGAGCCCGCAGCCTCCGGTTGCGGTTACGCTCGTGTCATCCGTGTGTCTGTATCTGCGTCTCGTGTTTTTAAGGCTAAGAAAAGAATTACGGTAATAAAAAAAGCAAACTTACATTATAAAGCTTGACCTGTTCCGACATAAATTTCACTCTCTCGGCTGTATTATTTTTTTCCCCCGCATTTTTTGTCTTTCTTTTTCCACATTGGGAAGAGAAAACAAAATAAAACCAAACCAGTTGTTTGAGGGAGAGACGAGCAACATCAGGAGCCTCCCTCAAAGAGAGGATTGTGTCTTAAGAGACCAAATAATGAACACAGAGCAGGTTTTATTTCAGATTCACCACAGCTGCACACACTCGAACATATCCTTGACTGCACTGTAAAACCCAGTACACTTCTGAATATATTTGTTGAAAACCAGAAGAGAAAACTGGAAAACCCTAACATGATTCTTTTTTTTTTTAGCCTAAACATTATCACCAAGTGTTCTGCTTTGGTCAATACTGTCCTGGTGTGTAAATCTTTGTTCTCTGTAACAGCTGCAGCGAGAGCTTTAACATAAAAAAACACACACTGGCTCTTTATGTAAAAAAAAAAATGAAAGAAACTTTGAGCATCCTCAAACAAAGACTTAATCATTTCTTCATTTTTAAACACATTTTACTCCTGCTCTGATTGCTTTCCTTTTTTTTTTTTTTTTTTGCAATGAACTCACCAAATTAATTTATTTAAAATGTTGCATATTTATTCAGTCATTTGTACTTTTTTATTTTTGTATTGTGTCTTTTTTGGTAATTTGTTTCTTCTTGGATTTTTTTTGTACGATTTGTTGATCATTTTAGTATTGTTTTTTTCCTACAGATGTTTATTTTTATTTTTATTTTCCCACTGTGGTTTAATTTTTGTTTTGGTTTTTTTGTAAGAAATGATGATCAGCCAGTCTGACCCAACTTGTGAATTGCAGAAATGGACACATGGACCAATTCTTTACTGTGTTGCTGAGCTCATTATTATTTAGGAACTGTAGAAATAAGAGCCGATATGATGTTGTACCTGTTAACTATTTGGCTTTTTAAAATGACAAATGCAAAAACTAATAATAATGACGCAAGGGATTCGTTGACATTCTGATACAATGAGAGATGTGAAAAACATGCTGAGCTCACAAGTGTTAATATTTATTCCTAATTTAATGAGACACTTGTGTGCAGTAAGGTCAGCTGCAAGTTCTTGGTCAAAAACTAAGGAAATCCAATAATTCATCATCGGAAAATAAAACAAGTGCTTTCCTTTTATGATGCTTCATCAAAAAAAAAATCTATTGTGCACACAGGTCATTCTGTGGTGCCGAACCAGTTTCCTCAGGCTGTCAGCTCGCCTTTCGCTGTGAAAACTGACTGCTCTTTAGTTTTACAGCTTTCTACTTGAATTTACATATTTATTTATTCAAAGCGATTAGGGCGGACAAGCTGAGCCGACTGAGTTCTGTTTTAGTCGAGGAGAAGATTGAGCCTGCTGTCTGTCAGGATGTGCTCTGTTGTGTCGAGTTAAAGAACGGTTTTGGAACACACTTTGACTTTTTTTATGTTTTGTTTCATTCAAGTTCGTAAATAAAAGAAACATGCTCTAAATAATGTTTCAATTTCTTATATGACAGTATTATTCATGTAGATGAAGTGCAGAAATACCCCCTCCATAGACACACACACGCACACACTGAACTGCAAAATTGTCAATGCAAAAGATGTGCATTGCTTCTATAAATATACCTTTTTGCAATCATTAGCCTCATCTAATTAACCAACCTAACTGTCAGTTAAGACACATGAAGTCCATCACTAGACCAGAACAATTTTAGAATAATTTAAAAACAAAACAAATCACAAAACAGTTGATGTAACATCATCTATGAGGCTTTTTTAATTTTGAAACTTTTAGTTTAGCGTTTAGCAGAATGATGGGATTTTTCTAATATTAAAGAATTATGACGTATTAGGGGGGTCTGCAATTAGTCACAGATGTTTTAGGTGTTTTTCTCAAAAATAATAAGGACCATTCATTCCAAAATTATTTAAATGAAAATGTATAAACTGATCATTAAAAAACTCTTTCATGACAAAGGAATTAAAAAGTAAATTAATTTGAACATTTTGTGTGTG